ATACGGCCTGGTTCAGACGATGAGTGTATTTATGTATGTATATCAAATGTTTAGCTGTCGAAGCATTACTGACTTGTAGATAATCTACGATTTGAGATTATATCATGCTTGATCATGCCTGTAAAAATGGCATGTGTTTTAATGTAAATTTATATGTTTATATGAAAATATACATTATTATTATTATGGAGCTTAAAATACGCTTGATAATTCCTATAAGTCTTTCTCATAGCCCATCTCTATGACTGGCATGTGGTGGGTTGAAGTGCCACTCAATGTTCCTTTTCATGAACTCTCATTTGAGGACCTGCGAAATGCTGTTTAAGCTTGGCGTGACAGCCAACAAAATTAGTCCCTCTGTCACTGAAACCGTCTTCGGTGCACCTCGGTGATTTATAAATCTAGGTAATGCTAGAATGAATGAACCAGTGGTTAACGTATGAACCATCTCAATACGCATAGCCCCCATTTTCTAGCAGGTGAATAAACAGCCATATCTGCCTCTCTTCACTGCGAAAGGTCCGAGCAAATTCACTCCGACGTACTCGAATGGATAATTCTCTTCAGAAACTTTCCACGCTGGTAGTGGTGCCATCATCTGCTGTGCTGAGCGAGAATTCCGTAGTTTACATTCCATGCACTTATCTATTATTTTACGGACAGCAGTATCTCCCTCCACTATCCAAAACTTACACCGAATGCTTGGTAGTACATGTGGAGAACCTAAATAACCTTCAAGGACATGGTAGTGTCTTATAATGAGATCAGTGACCGGAAGGTATCAAGATAATAAGGCCGGATGACGGGTCTCATATGACGATTCTAATATTTGTAGACGTCCACCAACTCTAGCGATCCCTTCGAAAACTATCGGAGATAATCTATCTAATCGCTCCTTGAAATCTGCGAAATCAGGACTATCTTCCTTGAAAATCGCACTCCACGCTTCCCACTGAGCCTTCCTCAAAATCGCTAACTCTGCATTTCTAATATCTTCGACTCTCAGAGGTCCCACATTCATATTTTCGTATCCTGCAAGATGAATGATTTTTAAATACGTAAAATATCGTGCCAACCACGCAACAGCCTTCAGTAGTATGTACCAAGAAGAAGAATATTTAAAAAGTGGATGTAAACCCTAATTTCTTTCTTGAGTAGATGTTAAACTGATACTTGTCTTAAACTCCAAGACACACCTGCTTATCGCTGGTTCACCTTCTCTACTAGGCCAGCCCGAAGCAAGAACTCTGGAACTTTCCACCACTTATTTTTAACCACATTCATATCAATAACTCCTCGCGATGCTAGACCAACTGGATTTTGCAAACAGTACGTACCTCCTTTTCTCGACGGTTGTTAGTTCACGAAGTTGAGATACTCTGTTAGCTACAAAACATGCATATCCTGCTGACTCGTTGCGTATATAATATATCACAGACATCGAATCAGTCCAAAACGTTACGGGATACTTGTAGTAATCCAACTCTTTACACACCGTTGTGAATAACTGCGCCGCTAGCAAAGTTGCAGCAAATTCTGATCTCGGAATCGAAACCGTCTTTAGAGGTGCAACCGTAGATTTACCCATCACTAGGTGAACACCTATATCCTCCTCGAAGGTGATTCTGATGTAGACGGCTGGTCCAAATCCAACCTCAGAGGCATCAGAAGAAACATGGAAGTCAATTATATCATGATTTCTCGGTGGCTTCAGTGGACGTTAGACGGAATATAGATCCAGCGTTGCTAAACTGTTAACCCACCTGTACCACTCTTCACCGTGTCTCTCACTTAATGGGTCATCCCACTGTAACCCTTTCCTGCATGTCTCTTGAAATAATCTCCTCGCCGGAAGTAGATAAGGAGCTACTAATCCAAGTGGGTCAAACACGGACGACAACACAGAGAGAACACCTCTCCAGGTAATTGGCTTATCAACATCACTATCACTAGATCCAAAGGTATCAGAGTTCACATCCCATCGCATACCCAATGTACGTACAAATGGTAGAGCATCAACAGGTAAATCTCGCACAGTAGGTGTTCTGTCTTCTGCAACTATATGCTTCAAAACGTCTAGGCTGTTCGAGACCCACTTAGTTAAACGAAAGCCATCCCTAGCTAACACCTCAGTAATACTTGTTGCAAATTTAACTGCAAACTTATTGTCAGTCTCGTCTCGTAAACCGTCAATGCCCAGCTCTTGCTACGCTGGAACTCACGCTGTTCCTTGAAGTTTCTCAGAAACGTTTAGTAAAAACGGACGCAAAAACCAAAACACCGATTGGCCACTCGAGAATTCTTTATTGTAACACCAACATACAGGCAACTTTAAATTAAGTTTTGACTAAGGTCTGTGAACAAATATTACAATAATAAATCACAATATTACTTCCGACAGTTTTGGTCTGACTTCTTTCTGAACAGCGACCGATGAGACGATGACTGGTGTATCGATGTCTCCGCGAAAATTAGGGAAGTTGGTTTTGAGCAAACAACCATGAATTGATCGTTCAATCTTCAACTACATTGACACTTATCATCATCGAAGGAGGCCTAACAATCATCCAGATACAAGCAACCATCGAGAGCATCCAGCAGATCATTAGAACCAAATGTGGACACTGCCTTTCGTACAGCAAAATTAGCACATAACGGGGAGGACATGGCACCTAAATGGATGGACCGTCATCCTATATTCTGGCACCTTACCACAAGGAACATCATCAAACCACAGGAACCTTAGATATGATAGAGAAGATTTGTAGCTCAGGTGGGTGATTTCGATGTGGTTTTGTTCTCTGAGCTGGATGGTTAATTTGCGGGGTTTTCTCTAATTTTGCTTTTTGGATATCTATAATTTGTTGATACTTGTTGATCCGATAACGTGCGTCTGTAATCATTAATTTGACCATTCTCTTCCACATTGTTCGGCCAATTAATGATTACAGACGCACGTTATCGGATCAACAAGTATCAACAAATTATAGATATCCAAAAATCAAAATTAGAGAAAACCCGCAAATTAACCATCCAGCTCAGAGAACAAAACCACATCAAAATCACAGGAACCTTCAGTGATCTCTGTCGCCCTCTGGCGCCTTCACTTGTAGGAACAATTCCTCAATATCCGCAGCGACAGCAACTGTAAACTTTCTGAATCTTAACAGCGGTCCAACTAATGAGCGATCTGGGCCGCTATACAGATTATCATTCAAAGAGACTCCTTCATGTCTCGCAGAACAATCAAACACCACACGGAGATTACCTGGCTTCCTCGGGTTAAAGACGGGATGATGGGGCAAATACCACTTCCCTGGCTCACTCTGATCAGCTAGTCTTTCAACTTAACCCTTCATTACATGTTTGTCAACGACATCCTTATATTTGGTCCACAGATCTGCATCCGTCAGAAACTTCTTCTTCAAACCCATTAGTCTATTAAGAGCAAATTCTCTATTACAAACCAACTGCCTATCTTTAAATGTCCATGGTAGGCCAACTCTGAAACGCCCATTTTTGTATTTACAAGTCACCTCAACTATTTTAACTGCCTTTAAGTCTTTTATAGAACGACCCTTCTCTGGGACACCGCAGTCACAAAACTCCTTGTCATACACACTTTTAATCACAGTCTAGTTTGCCCCCATTGTTTACAACCAATAAGTATATATGTGGACCATGGGTGTTTTCGTCGTAAACAGATCGTCTCTACATCCGAATCTCCCTTCTAATACCTTATGAGATTCTCGCACACTACATCCAATGAGTATTCTCACTCTACAATCTTGCAGTGTTGGAAATGGTATGCCACACAGGTATGACTTACCGACAACTGTCTCACGACTAGGTACTATAGCTTCGCCAAGTTTCATACTGGAGTTAGTGTAAGCAGTATCTAATTCAACGGTTTACCCAGTAGTCAAGGATCCTAACTGAAATGACACTCGTTCACATACTACAGTTTCCGAAGAATGGAAAGTATTTACAACCAAGGATTGCTTCAGGCACTTAATAAACAGGGAGCCAGCCAACTAAGCATTTAGTAATTTAAGGTATAAAAATTATCTAAAAGTGCATAAGTCTCTACCGAACATTTCGGTCATTTCAACTAAACTGGTAAGACCACCTGTTAAATTTAAATTTTCTATTATCCCTAGATGGTGAAACACGAATATGCTGAGCATCATACATTTCATGAAAATTAACAAGCAAGTCAGCATTACCTACTTTCCTGCCTGCTTCCAGGACGCTTTGTTCCCTCTTTGACCCAGGCATCACTGAACTTGACCGAAAATTCCAGAAACGTTCCAGATAATACTTGTCCAAAGAAGACTTGCAGGCACCAGTAAAGACGAATAGAAACTATCCAAACACTATCAGAAACTGGCAGCCAACTTTCATAAACAGTCAATGTCCAGCTCTTACTACGCTGGACCTCACGCTGTCCCTCGAAGACTTTCAGAAACACTTTGTATCAACCAACGCGAAAACCAAAACACTATTTGGCGACTCAAGAATCCTTGATTCTTACGCCAACATGTAAGCAACAATAAGGTTATTACACAAGGTCTAAGAATGAATGTTATAACAATAAATCACGATAATACTTTTGATAGTTTCTTATCTACTACTGAACAGCGAGCGATGAGACGATGACTGATGGATTGATGGCTCCGCGAAAAATATGGAGGAGTTGTGTTTGAGCGAACAACCATGAATTGATCGTTCAATCTTCGACTATATTGACACCCCCTAAATAACCTTGTGGGTTGTCAAGGGGCCTGAAGGTACTACTACATTTAACTGAATTCCCCGGTTCGTTTACTGCCCTCAGAAGTGGGTGCACATCGGTTGAACCACTACTTCCTTTGTCTGTCGCCTTACAATTCAACTTTGTAAAATGGTGCCAAGTTGACCTAAGATGTTTCATGCGGAATTTAGTGGCCAACCGAAAGGCCTCAATAATCCTCATCTCCTTATCTTAAACCTTCTTATAAATGAACACACCAACAGAACAATTTCCAAAGAATGATAACATTCCTGAATCTTCGCCTTGTCATGAAGCCACGGTAAGTACTACAAATAAGCCAGATGACAGCGACTTGTTGAACCATTCTGCATTTCGAAGGGATAGTGGTTCACGTTTGGCCACAAAAAAGGTTAAGATCGCTGACCCTAAACAGAATGTTGAGGGCGATTCTGATGAAGAATATTCAATATCACTACCTAATACGTGTAATATTCCCGAGCTCGGTGAATCAGTCTCTGCTGTTAATTGTGGTCAAGCAAATGACCAACAGGCAGCTTCTGCAGCTTCCATCGATCGCAAAAAGACGAAGGAGAAACAGAAAAAAGAACGTGAGAAAAAGAAAGAGGAGGAGACGTTAAAAAAGTATCAGGTAGAGCAGGAAGCTAAACAAAAAATATCAGCGTAGTCTAAATGTGGTCGGCGGATAAAGCATAATTTAAAGATTGGTGAAGGGAGCTATAAATTTGTTTACCGTGGATACGATAGCGCTGAGGCAAGAAACGTTGCGTGGTGTGAATTGAAACATGAACATGTTGATACTAAAGAAAAGCGTCAGGCAATGTTCAGAGAGACAGATATTATGTTAAAAATGAACCACCCCCACATAGTCAGGTTTTTTGATGTTTTCAGGGAGCGGATAGATATAGAAGATCCGAACAATCAAATTGAAGAGAAGGGAGTTGTGATTATTCAAGAACTATTGGGCGAAGGGACATTAAAAAGTATTATTAGAAAGAATTTCCTAGATGGTCGGTGTAAGCTTAAGTTTCTCCTTATCACACGTTAGTGGTATCAAATCTTAGATGCTTTGCGTTATATGCATCACAAAATACAACCACCTATTTTACGTAGGGATTTGAAAGCCGATAACTGCTTTTTGTATGGTGCTTCAGATGAAGAGTATTTGAATATGAAGGTTGGAGATTTCGGTTTGGCTACTCATGTTAGCAATAGCGGAAGGAGAGCCATGCTTCGTACTCTTGGTTTTATGGCACCAGAAATTTTCGATGAAAAATATGATGAAAAAGTCGATATATACGCATTCGGTATGCTGATGCTAGAAGTGATGACAAGTCGTACACCGTACGGTGAGTGTGAGACGGTTTTACAAGTAGCAGCTAAAACGATGTCTGGTCAAGGTCCTGATATCATGCAAATGGTGTCAAACCCTTCCTTACGTGAGGTGATGTGCCCATGCATACAGCTGTTAACGTGCTTTCGTCCTACTGCTGATGAGTTGTATTTCCATCCGTTATTTCAACCGAAAACGTTACCAGTAGAAGTAGAGCCAAATTACGATAACGCAACAGATCGTGCAGAGGTACTAGAGCGTTTTGCGCGATCTCTTGGTCCAGAAACGCGTAATCCGAATTTCAACTTGCGGTTAAGGTTTCGAGATAAAAAGATACTAAAAGGACTGGGATTGGATGATGTTGAATAATTGGAATTCGATTTAGACATATATAACGTTGAGGATCAGGATATTCTCGGCTTAATTCATAACTTAAGACCTGGATATGAAGATAAGTTGATGCGTGTAGTTGAAAATCCTAAACAACCTGATAAGAAAATTGTTTCAGATCGCAAAAGTGCATTGTCATCTTTGAGCAATTTGGTGACTGATGAGATGAACACTGGGAGTGTGTTTGCATCACGCACATTAGCTGGTAGTCTATTCCAAATGACTGAAAACTTATTTAAGAGGAAGTTGTACCGCACGTAAGTCTGACAATGCTCTATAGCAGCTAGGTTGTGATGATTCCTAAGATTGTAACTGGTGACAGTGGTAGGTTTAGTTATTGGCTTATAGTAAAGAATAAGGTTTAGCTTCTGTTGGACCAATTCGCAAATGACGGGGAATGTCAGCGCGGTTGAAGATTGAACGATCAATTCATGGTTGTTTGCTCAAACCAACTTCCCCAATTTCCGCGGAGGCATCAATACACCAGTCATCGTCTCATCGGTCGCTGTTCGGAAAGAAGTCAGACCAAAACTGTCGGAAGTAATATTGTGATTTATTATTGTAATATTTGTTCACAGACCCTTGTAAAAACATTATTTTTATATGTTGGTGTAACAATAAAGAATTCTCGAGTGGCCAATCGGTGTTTTGGTTTTTTACGTCCGTTATTACTAAGCGTTTCTGAAAAACTGCAAGGAACAGCGTGGGCCCGAGCGTAGCGAGAGCTGGGCATTAACGGTTTATGAGACGTGGCTGACAGTTTCTTACGGTAGAAACAGACTTTGGCGGATTCAGACAGTTGGTGAAAGTTTGGATAGTCACCGTTCATCTTTCCTGGTGCCGGTCAAGTCCTCTTTGAACAAGCAATATCTGGAACATTTTTGGAATTGGGTCAAGTTCAACAATGCCTGGGTCAAAGAAGGGACAGAGTGTCTTGGATGCAAACAGGAAAGTAAGTCATGGTGACTTGTCTGTTACTTGTAACGATGTGTCTGATGTTAAGCATGACATGGTTGATGTTACTGTTCCGCCGTCCAGGGAAAATAGGAACATCAAACTCCCTAAATTTGAACCACTATGTTTTGATGGAAACCCGGCTGATTATTTACAGTTTGTAAAGGAGTTTGAGGTCATGCTGAGTAGTTTTTATTAAGTGATGAATTGAAGTGAATGTATTTGATGAGGTATTGCACTGGAGATGCTTCAAGAGCTATACAGTGCTGTAAGTTTATGAAGCCAAAAGAGGGCTACGATGAGGCTATGAGCATATTACGCCAAAGGTTTGGAAGACCCTCGATGATTGCAGGGAAATTATTCGAGGCTGTTAAGGGTAATGGTGGTCAGTTACAGGATGACTCCCAGGCACTCACTGAGTTTTTAGATAATTTGCTAATTTACAAGAATGGAATGATTTCGATGAATCGAATGAGTGACCTCAACTCGAGTTTTATCCTAGAAGTAATAGCAAGACGTCTACCTACTCGACTGCAAAGGAAGTGGGTGAAGATATGCTCCCGTATGGAGGATGAGGGTATCGAGCCAAAGTTTGATGATATCCTGAAACTGGTAAATACTAGTGTCAATCAATCTATGAGCAAGTTCGCCAGTCTATTACATCTCACCCCTAGAATAGAGCAGTCTGAGGGTAAAACGCAATCATTGATGACGAGTAGGCCTCAGAGAGGTGGATATCGAGAAGACTCCATGATGTATAGTAATGCATATAGACCTAGTGAGTGTAACAGGTTTCGTAGTACATCCTCAACAGATAAGTTACAAGATGCAAGACAAAGACGGTTGTGTTTTACACGTGTGCAAGAGGTGCATACAGAAGTGAACTGTGAACCAGTGAGCAAGTTCAGTGATAAGCTAAATGTAAACTCCAGGCCTGACTCCGAGTTGTGTGACGATAACGGTGTTGTGAAGAAGTCTGTAGCTGCAACTGGTAAGCCGTTGTTGAATAGAGTGTCACAGAATAGAGTTACTGCTTCAGAGTGCAGTTCTGACTCCACAAGTTTACAAGGTATTACTAGTCAGAGTGAAGGTATGAAATCTTTAGGAATTTGTGAGGAAGAACCCAAATCATTTACTTCTGTTAATAAAGAGTTTGAAAATGATGAAGTCGACGGTAAATTGAATATTTGTGATAATGATCATGATATTGCAGATTTGTCTTTGGTTGATCATGATGAAATGGGGGAAATGCCTAATACTGCTAAGTTGAATAAAGGTTCTGTACAACTGCAACGTGAAGTAGAAATAAAAAAACATGCAGTTGCAGCAGGCATACATACTTTTGAGAGCGTCAGTGTGATTGATCAGCATGTAGCCCACCTATCATGAGATGCTATTGCTAAACCTGAGCTGATAGTAAAAGACACCAGTGGTGGTGGTCTTGCAGGTAGACAAATTTCTGAAAGCCGAGCAACAACAGCTCCTGATCCACCGCTAAGTTCATCAACTGGTATCAATCAGTCGTCGTTGGTGTTGTCATCCACAATGAGAAGGACGCCCATCAACTCAAGTATCTTGTACAATGACTTTGATAGTATTGCTTCATTTGAAAAGACGAAAGATATTGCTCAGTTTAGAGAGGATAAGCCAAGTGTAAACGAGAGAGTAATTGTTAAATTGACTTAAAAAAAAAAAAAAGCAGCTCTTTTCAAGTTACTATTTGAATGTTATTATCTTTGGTGTAAATTACTCTGTGCCTACACTTGGTTGATCAGATATGTCGTGTGTTTGTTCGTCATCTATATTCTACGATACAATGACATGGGCGTGTTACCGTTCAGAGTTGAGGATATAGCTGATAGAGGGAAGTCAGCAAATGAATTCTGCGACGATTTTCCAACCTAGGGCGTCAACCTGAGAAGGGTTGTAGGCGTACTGGTGTAAGTCCTACAATTCTTCAAAGGGTAGTGCATCAATGAGCAGTCCAATGTGCTTGGTGTGTGATTTTGTACATAAGTTCATATTGTATATACAGAATTGATATCATATGTCATCTAGCTGTTAGTAATTCTGATTGTGTCCGGACGACTTACACTTGGATCATCAACCTGAGAAGGAATGTAGGCGTACTGCTGTAAGTCCAACGGTTCTTCAAGGGTGTTTGTCGTGTCAGAATCCACAACATTTGATGTGTTGATTGTACATATGTTTGTGTTAAATAATTGTGTGAGTTCCAATTGATGTAATTGTTGGTTAATCTTGTTTATGTCCGGACATTCTTCAACCTACAATCGTCAACCTGTGAAGGGTTGTAAAGGTACTGGTGAAAGTCCTGTGATTCTTCAAAGTAATTACATTGAGACATGATCTGTGAGATTATGTGTACTGTTTGTATATATGTGTGGTGTGTCATATCAATAGGTGATTTTGGATTAATTGTGTTTACTCATTGTTTTCGTACCTTGTTGTTAATGCCTAATTTTGTTAAAATTTTCGTCGTGATTACTTCTGAAGCTGCTTTGAGTCTTCTACATCCGTGAATGAATTGATTGATGTTAGAGACAGCAGATGGGTCGTATACGCCGGGGAGGCTATTGCTGACAATGACATGCATACGGAGATAATTGTTAGCTGCGTTCCGACACGCCGGGGAGAAAGATTGTAAACGACTGAGGCTCGCATGCGTCACCGCTACTAGAACTGAGGCAGAATGAGTGACAAGCGATTGCAGTGGTAATTGGTAGTGAGTAGATAAGAGGATGAGCGTAGAGTATCGTGAGGTGCTGCCAAGGTCACGTTGCATTCTGCAAGAGTCATTCTAGCAAGTGGCGAGTGTGTTGCAAGAGGATGCCTTTAACTGGAAGGCGCAGGTCGTCATTGATGTGTGAGACTGTGCTGTAAGTATGCTTGTGGTGTGTTGGCTTTTCTGTTTGTTTTCCATTTCAGCTCTGTCCGTGTGACCCAGGTTCTCGCAATGGCATCCAAGTCAACGTGCATTGGTCGTGAAGGAAAATAGGGATGGACCCCTTGTTTGCCGGGGAGTGTCAATGGAGTTGAAGATTGAACGATCAATTCATGGTTGTTTGCTCAAACACAACTTCCCCAATTTCCGCGGAGGCATCAATACACCAGTCATCGTCTCATCGGTCGCTGTTCAGAAAGAAGTCAGACCAAAACTGTCGGAAGTAATATTGTGATTTATTATTGTAATATTTGTTCACAGACCCTTGTAAAAACATTATTTTTATATGTTGGTGTAACAATAAAGAATTCTCGAGTGGCCAATCGGTGTTTTGGGTTTTTACGTCCGTTATTACTAAGCGTTTCTGAAAAACTGCAAGGAACAGCGTGGGCCCGAGCGTAGCGAGAGCTGGGCATTAACGGTTTATGAGACGTGGCTGACAGGGAATTGAAGCCTTTTGGATGAGGTATACGAAATTTACGTACCCACAATGCTTACTGCGATATATATATCAGGCTTATTTCATGTAAACTGTTTTTATCTATGTAACGTGTGCCCACTGACACTATTCCGTCACCTTTCCTTTGTATAATCTTGTGTAACTGAAAAATTGTGAATATGTCCTCTCTTTGTATATATTATTCATCGTATTGATGACGCTTCTAAACTGGCATTACTGACGTACAAAAACTAAGAATATATTATTATTGTTAAAACAGAAACCAACTCTGTACCTCAACTTCATTGGTTTTAAGGAAGCCTTCAACAGCTCTGACTGAGAAATAATATTCAGACTGCTTCAACAATATGGAATGTCTCAAAGCATTATCAACCCCATTCTACAGATGAATGAGAATACCAAATGAGAAGTAACACAACGAAAGATCTGAGACGGCTGTGAAGCGAAAGCAGGGATGAGAAAATGCTAACTACCGCTACCGATGATATGTCTAACTGTAGTGGAATGGATTATATGGAAGACCGCTCATAGGGAGCGTGGAGACAAGAATACGCTGTACCAACAAGAGTAGTCCAGAAGATCTGAACTTCGCGGGTAATTCGT